AAACAACCTAAATGTCTATCAATAAATGAATGGAAAGAAATATATATATACACACACACACATGCACACACATACACACACAACAGAATATTATTCAGCCTTAAAAAGGAAGGAAATCCTACCATATGCAACAACATGGATGGACCTGAAAGACATTATGCTAAGTAAAATAAGACAGTCACAAAGACAAATTCTGCATGATCCCACTCATATGAGCTATCTAAAATAGTCAAACTAATAGAAAGAGAATAAAATGGTGGTTGCCTGGGGCTGGGGGAGAAGGGAGAAACAGCAAGTTGTTTAATGGGTATAAAGCTTCAGTGATGCAGATGAATAAGTTCTAGAGATCTGAACAATATACTGCCTATAGTTAATAATATTGTATTATAAACAAAAAAATTTAAGAGAGTAGATCTCAAGTGTTCTTACCAACCCCCGCCCAGCCCCCTGCCCCTGGCACACACACATAGAAGAAGTGGGGAGCTTTTGGAGATGATGGATATATTTACTACTTTGATTATAATGATGGTTTCATGGGTATATGCATATGTTCAAACTCATCATGTTGTATACATTAAATATGTGTAGCTCATTATATGTTACGCACACCTCAATAAAGTTATCTTAAAAATAAAAGTGCTAAAGAAAGTTTTCTTTAAATAACCTCAATCCTTTAGTTTATTTCCATAATAGTACCTTACATGTAATGGCATTCCCATGTTCATTAACCTGACTGATGCTTGTTTTATGAATAGCTGACTTTACACTTATCAGAAGCCCTTGGAATGAGCACAGGTCAGTGTTTTGGATTTCCTTGTGTACTCTCTGTCTTTGTTAATATAAGAGGCAAAGTATTCATTCTAGCATTGTAATCTTTTTTCTAAGCAAAGTCGTCTAATAAAGATTTCATCAGTTTTTTATTTGAACTAAATCTAAATCCAGGCCTAAGTCTATTATTATATTGACTTTCCTTCAGTCGGGAAATGATGAAACAGTAAAAATGCAGACATTGTTCATGATCAAGGAGATAAATAGTACATATCTTTTTTTCAAGTTCACAGGCTGTCTGCTTCAGCAAAATAATATACAGCATTGTGAGTCAAAGTCTTCTTTCCTCACATTTCAGATCACTTTTTCATTACCTCTTTGCTAACTCCTCTCATTCTACATTTTTATTTATAATTCCACTTTATTCTAAATATGTTACAGAATTAATTCTTAGTCTCTCACCATCTTACTTAATTCTTTCTCTGTGTACACCTTTTTACCTTTTGAAGTGTTATGTTAACATTTTTTAACAAACTCAATGCCAAATATCATAGACTCACAGCATCAGCTGGGAATGCTGCATCTGAAAGATCGGGCAAATAGGTATTTGGTGACAAGAGCGCTTTATCTCATTGGTACTAAAACCAGAAATGAAAGATGGGGATTGTACGAAGCTCTCTTTCTTCTCCTTCTCCCTCTTATCTTTTATTCTTTTTTCCTGCAGATGGGTGTGTGTGTGTGTGTGTGTGTGTGTGTAAGGAAAGAGAAAGAGGAGAAAGTGGGATAGAGGAAGAGAAAAGGAAAGCAGGAGTTGGATAAAAATAATTGATAAAATGTATACAGCTATCATTTAATTGGAAAGAAAAGTACATAGGAGACAAATAGGGTTGAAATAGGACAGGGAGAAGTAGATCTTTTGGATTAAGGAAACAGAGTTGAATTACAGAATCCAAGATTGCAGTATTCTAAATTAGTCCACATATATGTATTTCTTCAGGGTTTCATTTACAGCCTACTAGTAATGCTGAGTAGCACACCCACTGCATTTCCACATGAGCAAGGCTGATTTTTGGCATAGCCCCTTCTGTCTCTTCCCTCTTTCTGGCCTCCTGTTCTCTAACTTGTAGACACCCAGAACGGTCACATTGAACTCTGGCTTTCCAAAACCTTTTGGTACTCTCTGTCATCCCTTTTCTTCTTTCCAGTCCCAAATCAATTCTTATTCCCAGACTGTGCAAGTAGGTGTTTGGCCTGGTTATCTAATTTAAATACTCAAATGAGTCCATTTCTGTCCAACAATATACTTTAAAGGATGAGGTTGTTCACTCTAGTGGGTCTCCATGTGTATTTTCTGAATCTTGAGTAAGTGACTTGTCATCAGATTCCCAGAGGAACCCACCCCCAGAACAATTAAAATATAATCATCTAAGTGGCAAAATGCACATGGGAACTATTTTTGAACTGGTATACATATGTAGGTTCCTGGCTTAATTAGAGTACCTCTCACCTAGTTAGAGGACCACTCATATAGCACTCACTCTCATCAATCCAGAAATCTGATCAGTCTTACAGTCTTCTCCCATTCTCCCCTCACTTTTGCAAACAACATACCTCATAGTAGAATAAGGTATTGCTTGGGGAGAGGGAAGAGCAGAAGCACAGTGAGCAGTGGAGGGCCCAAAGGCCATCTTGCACTAAATACATATATTTATATAGTGTATTTTATTTTTAAAAATATATTATCTATAATACATATATTTTACACATTTATTATGTATATTTATTATATTATATATTACATATTTCTTATATTTTTTAAAAAATAAAATATACAATATATTAATTTTCATTAAAAAATTAAAACTACAGAAATGTTGTAAGAACAGTACAACAATCTACCATATACCCTTTTACCTAGATTTATCAATTTAACATTTTGTCACATTTGCCTTACCTATCTGTGCTAAACCATTTGAGAGTAAGTTGCATATATCAAAAGGTTTTTTTTAGACAGAGTCTCACTCTGTCACCCAGGTTGGAGGGCAGTGGCACCATCTCCGCTCACTGCAACCTCCACCTCTGAGGTTCAACCCATTCTCCCATCTCAGCCTCCAGACTAGCTAGGATTACAGGCGAGTGCCACCACACCCGGCTAATCTTTGTATTTTTAGTAGAGATGGGGTTTCACCATGTTGGCCAGGCTTGAACTCCTGACCTCAAGTGATACACCGCCTTGGCCTGCCAAAGTGTTGGGATTGCAGGTGTGAGCCACCTCGCCCAGTCCACAATTTTATGCCTAACTAGTTTAGCGTGTATCTCTTAATAAGAGATACTCTCTTTTATAATCACAGTACAATTATAAAATTCAAGAAGTTTAACACTGAAACAATATCTAATATGTAATCCATATTCAAATTTCAGTAAAAGTTCTGAAATACTCCTTTATAGCATGTTTTTCCAAATCACATGTTGCCTTTAGTGGCATGCCTTTTTAAATCCCTTAAATCTAAAATGGTTCCTCAGCCTCTCTTTGGTTTTCATGACATTGATGTTTTTTAAGAATACAGGTCAGTTGTTGGGTAGAATGTTTCTCAGTTTGTACCTTTCTGCTTGGTTCTAGATCATAATATGCATTTTTGACAGGAATACTACATAAGAGATATTGTAACCTCAGTGCCTCACATCAGGAGGCACATGGTGTCATTGTATCACATAATTGGTGACATTAATTTTGATCATTTGGTTAGAATGGTGTCAGATTTCTCCACTGTAAAGGGACCTTTGTTAATCCTTTATCATGAATAAGAAATCCAAAGACTATGCAAATATCTTGTTCTCCGGCCAAATTTCACTCAATGATCTTAACATCTATTGATAATTCATGTCTAAATCCATTATTACTGTAATGGTTGCCAAACGATTTGCTAATTGTCATTCTTCTAACATATATTAGTTGGCATTCCACCGTCATTTCACTTCTCCCCCCTTTATTTATTTATTTAAAAGTTTAAAAGCAAGTATGCTCTATGGATTCTTTTTAAAAATTCAATATGTTAAAATCCATTTCTATCATTATTTATTCTTGATTCTCAAATTGTCTCAGATTTGGTAAGGGTGAGCACCTTCAAGACATCTCTTTTTCTTTTGACATATCTTCCTCGACATAGCAAAGAAACCTCCCTACTTTAAGGCACAGGATCTTTCAAGGGCATTTTATACTTTCCCTGTCTCTGCCCTCGAATCAGCCTTCTCGCCACGGAGTCTGGCTCCTTTAGGTGAAGAATCGTATTTAGAAACCAAGATATGAAGGCACATAATACATTTCAAAATATTAAAGTGTCACTGTCCCTGTTTCCTTGGGTCATATTTGGAAGCGTGGTGTGATTTATAATTCTACCTCTAGAATTAGCTGTGTGACCTTGGCAATTCCCTTTATTCCTCGCGGTCTGCTTCGTCCTCTGGAGAAAAAAAAATTGGATTAGAGAAATATTTCTTAACCTTTTCAGGGTCACCAACACGTTTGTGAATCTGATAGAAGCTACGAGTCCATCTCTGCAGAGACATGCTCACATAAGCAAAAACTGGCCTATGTTGTAGGGAGTTCCAGACTCGGAAGCTCATTTGAGGCTCCAAATCTCTTGGATTAAGTAATCTCCAAGGTCTCTTCAGCGCTGACATTCTGTGAGTCTATAAGCGGCCGTACTGCTGTCAGAATGACTCCTAGGAGAAATCAAAGCGTGGAGGGGTTTATTATATATAGAAACGAGATGAGAAAAGGATACAAAGGAAAGAGCCTGTGAGCAACGCATTGCTCTGCCACAGTTCTTTGCCGGTGCCAAATCTAGGGCTGGCTGTACTTGTAGGTGAGAGGTTTTGGCGGGAAGGTCCCCGGGTGGGCGGAGAACGCCGGGATGGGGAAGGAGACCTCAGGTCGCATGCAGGTCTCTGCACCGCTCTGCACGGTCCGCCAGGGCTCGCTCTTGCCCTTCGCCTGGAAGGCCGAGGAATGGAGCGGGCCGGGCGGCGACCCCGCCCCTGGCAGCGGCTAGGCGGAGAGGCGAGAGGAGGGCGTCTGAGCCCGGAAGGAGTGCGCTGGTCCGGCCCGCGCCCCTCCCCGCGCGCCTTCCCCCACTCTCCCCCTCCAGTCGCGGACAACAGCGGTGCTCTGGTCGCCATGGTGACCAATCCAGGCCCGGGCCCGCCCCCGTCCCCCTTCCCCGGCCCCCTGACGTCGGCGCACGTCAGCGGCGGCGCGCGCCTGGCTGGGCCCTGCAGAGCGGGAGGGAAGGAGCGAAGGAGCAAGCGGAGCTGCCGTCGCCCAAGCCGAGACGCGCTGCCAGCCCTCCCGCCCGCCCGCCCGCGCTCCTGTCCGCCGTGTCTAGCAGCGGGGCCCAGCATGGTCATGGCGGATGGCCCGAGGCACTTGCAGCGCGGGCCGGTCCGGGTGGGGTTCTACGACATCGAGGGCACGCTGGGCAAGGGCAACTTCGCCGTGGTGAAGCTGGCGCGGCACCGGATCACCAAGACGGAGGTGCGGCCCGGGGCTTGGCGGGAGCGTCGGAGGCGAGGGTTCGGGAGAGGAGCTGCTTACAGAGAGGGGCGGCCGCAGTGGTGGGACCGGGGAGACCCGAGAGGCCGCGCCACTGGCGGAGGCGAGTGGGCCTGGGACTGTGAGGACCCAGGAGGTGCAGGGGGTCGGTGAGCAGCGAAGGGATTGGGCCCGGGCATCCGGACCCGAGTGTCGTCCGACTGGAAACGCGATCAGCCGGGGCTTTGCTTTCCCCTACGCCACCCGCGGTGGCTACCCGGAATTTCGCCCAGAGCCCCCTAGTCGGGCCGTGACCTGGTCTGTGGCCTCCGCTCCGGGGCCCAAGTTCCGCGTCTTCCCTGCTTTCGGCTGGGGGTGGGGTGGGAGGGGAAGTCTCGGTGTTCCCAGGCTGCGCCGTGAGAGACGTCGCCTGCCCGAGGAGGGGACCGCCTGTGCTTGGGCTCCGCGGATGGGGGATCGTGCGGCCCCCGTGACCCCGGCGCCCCTCCCCTGCCTGGCGAGGAAGGGCCCCGTGGCTGGGAATGCCCGCACGGCCACTGTCCATCTTCTCTCCTTCGTTTTGCCCCACGGTGTCTCTGATTTGGTGTCTGGCTAGCTTGATCTCTTGCCTGGGGCATTTCCATTTAATGCTCCAGACAACAGAACTGGTTAAAATGGTCATCTCTGCACTTGCAAGTAAGCGGGTTGATCTTTCTTGTCTAGGGTTGTCCCTGTACCAGGTGTGCTTTCTGGCTGTAATACGCATTCTTTAAACCACATCAGATTCTGCTTCTACTCATAAAGCCCTCAGCTGCTTCCTGACGGTGAATCCTGCACTCTCTTCATTGCACATTCTAATGCACCGCACATATTCTCTCACAAGTCTCTGTTCTTACCTAACCCGCCCCCCTTCCTTCCACTGCCTCAAGCTGCTCTCCTCAGGGTCTCTATTTTAAGACGTGCAAATTAAATACCTTAGAAGAACAGTAGAAACAAAACCATTCTTTAGAATAAAACCTAGTCGTTTTGACGTACTCTACTCTGCCTTATTGTAGTTCCTCCTGGAGTTTCATCCTTTTCCTGTTTTTTCGTTTTGTTTTGTTTTTGCCCCCCGGTTTTGCTCCTATTCTGATCTTTTCCTTATTAGTATGAATGCACTAGAGTTTGAACGTAGAGTAAAGAAGGACTTTTTTTCAGAATGACTTATATAAGGCGAAGGGCACTTGCAAACCTGAGTGATTTTTATAGTTGCAGTTGTGCTTAGAAGTTTTGCTTAATGCCCATTTCCAGAAGGAAGGGATATATGTCATTCTGTCTTCTTTACTTTTTGCCTTCCTCTGCTGATCCTGAAACAGTCCAAATCTGACTTATCTTTTAGAACCAGGACCGAGGTCAGATATTTTCTTCTCACAGATTTAGCTGTTAGCAATTTAGATTCTTTGTAATGGTAACTTGACTATAGTGATATTGATAAATCTTTGCATAGTTTAATCTGATCCCAGTATTTTTTAAAATGAAGAAATTGGTTCCATTCCTCTGCAGAGCCATGGCCTAATGCCATGGCATTTCCCTTTAAGTTACTTAAAAGAAGGCATTTTAAATGCACATTTTATGAGCCCTTGCTTAATGTCTTTCTAAAAGCAAACAAATTGTGAGTTATAGAGAGGTCCTACAAAACTTTTGAACTGTGGTGTATTGTATGGTTGAATTCCAAATCCATCAGTTCACAGTATTTTTTTTCTCATCGGCTCTTACTGGGATTAGTAGCAAAATTTACTTAAGTCATCTATTATTTATCAGGTCAAATTTAGTTAATACAGTATCTATTTAAGAGCTGCCTAAGTAGAATGACTGACACTATCTTGAGATTGACGATTCAAATGGTGTCCCTTTTAAACTGATACATCTTAAAGAGCTAGGGGGCACTATGGAGTAATATCGTGGTTTGGTTATCTGAGTGAGATCAGTGCATTCATTTGTAATTGAAAGCACTGGTCAGATCGTGAAAGAGGACTTAGATCCTAAATCGTGTGTGTAGTGTCTGTGTGTGAATTGATTGACGTTAAAAGCTAACTGTTTAGTCCACAGAACCCATTTCCTTTGTGCTTTTCTAAAGAAGTCGTTATTAACATGTAAAAAGAAATAGTGTAAATTTGACTTGGGTGAATGTGAGTATCTGTAATTTGGTGAGTATGATTGGAGATACTAAGGTAGAGAGGGATAAGTAAAATGTCAAAGCAATCGTTGAACAGAAAAGTTCTGTAGATCTCTAGGTTGTAAAGTTGCTCTGAATTTTTTTTTTTTTTTTTTTTAGAGAGGGATAAGTAAAATGTCAAAGCAATCGTTGAACAGAAAAGTTCTGTAGATCTCTAGGTTGTAAAGTTGCTCTGAATTTTTTTTTTTTTTTTTTTATTTTTTTTTTTTTTTTTTTAAGACGGAGTCTCGCTCTTGTTGCCCAGACTGGAGTGCAGTGGTGCGATCTCCCCTCACTGCAACCTCTGCCTCCCGGGTTCAAGTGATTCTCCTGCCTCAGCCTCCCAAGTAGCTGGGATTACAAGCGCGCATCGCCACACCTGGCTAATTTTTGTGTGTGTGTTTTTGGTAGAGACGGGGTTTCACCACGTTGGCCAGGCTCCTTTTGAACTCCTGACCTCAAGTGATCTGCCTGCCTCAGCTTTCCAAAATGCTGGGATTACAGGCGTGAGCCACCTTGCCGACCCGGTTGTTTCTTAAATTATTCCACTGGAGTAACAATTCCATTGTTAATGAGGTTTTTTTACAGCAGTTATTTATCCTTATTCATTTGCTGGGTAAATGTTTGTGTGTTTTTAATAAATAAAACTACCTTAAAAACTGTAAGATGGCTAGTGAAAGCTTTTGTTTTAAATTCAGTTCTTGTTGCTGAACATACAACAGTAGTTATCATGAGAACAATGAATATGGTATAAAAATAATATCAGCAAAATATCACAATTACACTTATTACTGATAAAAGTTTCTTCATATACTATGCTTTAACATCGATACAAGTTTGTGTTTTAAAACTTAGAGGTATTTTTTCCCCAAGTTAGATCCTGAGGCAAATTTTAGGTCTTAAACATCTATGTAATGAACATTTGGACTCTTATTTTTAATTTGCTCTTCTCTGTCTCTTGTTCTATGTCACTCACAAATGATGTATATCTACAGAACTTGGGAAGTTCAAGTCTGTTTCTCTTTTAGAAAAAAAAATAGTAGACAAAAGAGATCTTCATTTTGGTCAAATCTATCAAATAGTTTAACATTGTTTATGAAATATAATTATATCATCATCTGAAGTGGTATTGTGTTAGTTCTCTATGTGAATTTTGCACACAAAAGGGAAGACAGGTGGTGGTAGAATTCAGCCTCCTAATACACTTTGTAAAAGCTTTGTAGTATTAGTTTGTGGTTTATAAATTAGAGATGCTAATTTTATAAAATTAGCATAATGGGAAAAGATTAATAGCATGTAAGCTGTTAAACTTTCAGGCAGTAGTGGTTACTTGTTTGCTGTTCTGCGAGTGTTCTTGAGCAGTTTATTTTATCAATACTATGCAATACTAGGAAATAACTTTTTCCTTCTAGTTAATGGTATAGCTAGTTTTTTGTCTCTTAAGTAAAATTCTAGAAAAGCCAATTGTACACTTAAATTTTTTTGTATTCTATTTAAGAAATAGTTTCTTTCTTGTTCAGGACGAAAGAAAGAAAAATAAATAAAGAAGTAGTATCTTACTATAACATAAAAAATAAGAGTATAGTGAACAAAAAAGTGTACATATAATTCCTCCACCAATGGGAATAACCCATCTTTAACATTATGACACTAGTCTTTTTATTTAAATGCATTTTTTCCACATGAGAGCACATAGTACATATATATAAATTATGTTCTTTTTTTCTACTTAATATTATAACCTAAGCATTTTGCTTATTATATGTAATTTTATAAAGACATTTTTGTTAGCTGCATGGTGTTCTACCTTGTGGATGAATACCATTTTACCTAACAATTCCCTTATTAATGAATATTATGTAGTTTTCAGTTTTTGTTTATAGCAAATAATTTGCGGTGAATATTTTTGTGTCTATAGCTGTGTGTACATTTTACATTTTTTGGGAAGGGGAGGAAGAATTACTGGTAAAGTCCTAAAAGGAAATTTACTAAGTAACAAGGTATTATTTTTACATTAAAGAGTAGTGTATTTTTATTACCAAATCTTTCATGTTTATTATTGAAAAATTTAAAAGTATAAATAGGAGGCCAGGTTAGAAGGCTGACACCTGTAATCCCAGCACTGTGGGAGGCCCAGGCAGGTGGGTGTTTTGAGGCCAGGAATTCGAGACCAGCCTGGTTAATATAGCAAGACCCAGTCTCACAAAAAAAAAAAAACACACACACACACACACACTATAAATAAATGAAAAGAATTCCTCATAAAATCACAACCCCAGAGATAGCCATAACTAGTTATTTTCAGACCTTTTCTATAATAGATAACTGAGTTTTTCTCAATACCATAACTCTTGTATTGCTTAGCTAAAGAGCATGGAAATGTATAGTCTATGGAATCTTAAAGATATTTCACAGAGATTCTATAAATGACCTTATTAAAATGGCATGTGGGTGTCAGGCTGCTTACTTACCCTTAAGAGAATTTGGAATGCAAAACTGATAACAAGGACATTCTGAAAACTGCATTTGTTTGCTGGAAAGCTTTCTATGTGCATTTTGGGGATTTTATAGTTAAGCATAATTCTTTACTTCCTTAAAATGTAAGATTTGTAAAGGTTTTCAAAATTGTTAATGTATTCAAATTGCATTTTTATAGCAAAGGTAGAAACAAGAGAAAGGCATATTACACCCTGATTATGATGTTTCTTGAAGAGAACTCATTTTTAAAATACTTTTGAATTTTCTATTTTGCTTTAAAATTAATTTTAAGACTCCTTTCAGCAGTCTTGGTATTAATCTTGTAAAATGA